TTTGTCCTTTGTTGATCGTAACATAGTAGTGTATTGAGATAAGATGTATTTCCTGTTAACACGTTATCACATAGAAAAAACAACAACAATACATTATAGATAAAATGCGAAGGGATTAAAGAACAAGATATCTGAAAAATACTCAGTTTTATTTCAGAACATTCATAAAGCTCCTCCATTACAACTATTTGTTCAACGTAACACTTAATACAAACTTTACTCTACCGAAGAACCAAGCATGAGTGTTCAGTAAGGTCTATTTTCCCCTTTTCTTAATATACAGATGTAGCCCTTACCGAGACAACAATCAAGGGTCATACTTGCTTTACAAATTTCGGGTTCGAAGAATTATACAAGCCAAGTAAAACAAATTAATTGTTTGCTTTTTTCAGCAAGTAAAAATTCACCTTGTACTCTGTTTATGACTTTTTTTTTTGTCCATGTTTAAGGATAATGTTCAATTCGATTTTTTGGTGTTTTAATTTAGTATAGACATTTCTGTTCCACGATACATACGTTTAAAAAACAAACAAATAAATAAATAAAATGCGTTTATCTGTGTAAATCACAGTGTAAACCCAAACTCACCGATATGTAAAATCTAATATCTATCCGGAAAAAATCCCCCTAAATTTCCACATCAATATTGATAACAAAAGTCTTATTGTCTGGAAATCACACAGTGATAACACAATAAAACCAGTTACTCTTAACGTCATACATCTGGCATCTTATTCCCGAAGAAGTGTAAACAAACGCCATTTTTTTTTCTTCGTCACTTAAAAAGACAACCATCATAAAACAGCGAAATATGACTACAACTTTTTAATTTTTTTATTATTTCCTGACCATTCTACCTCGCTATCTAATATATTAAATTTGTTTCCCTAAAAAGCCTATTATATGTCTGTAAACCTAAAAGGACCTGCGTATCTAGAAGGTGAGAGAATCCACACCCAGCGCGGAGTTCACCCTGAAAAATGTCTATACACCCAAAATAAACAACCTTAAATGTATTTCACATGGTTGCTTAGTTTCTGACAACATTGACTGGTAGCGAAAGAGTTCAGTAGTCTTTCCATGGTCGCGTCAACGTTTTTCTATAACATCTGCTTTTCACCTGAAGAACTTTTAGCACACTATATGAAAAAAAAACTATTACACTGATACATGCAAATTTGAATACAAAGACTTAAAAAAAACATTGCATTTCACAGTGCATGATTGTCAAGATAATGATAATAATCATAATGATAATAATAGTAATAATAGCATTAATGATTATAAAGATAAAGATTAAAACGGATAATCATAATAATGATATTGATAATAATAATAATAATGATAATGCTGATAATAATAATTAGAACACTGATATTGATAATAATAGTAATAGTAACTATAATGATAATTATAATGATAAAAATGACAAAGCTAATAACAATAACAATGAAAAATTATAATAATAATAATAATAATAATAATAATAATAATAATAATAATAAAAATGATAATAATAATAATAACAATGGCTGAATAATATGGGTACACTTTTACACAAAAGGTTTCCTCCAACCACATGATGTTGAAGAGTAAAATTTCACCTTAAAAAGAATTCTTAAAATAGCTGCTCTATTTTTTCTTCTTGTTTTTATTATTCATTTTTGGCTCAAAGTCCTCTCTTAATATTAACACTTAAGTAACAGTAAACACGGGACGTCATAACATATATTAATTCTCAAGCACACTCAAAAATCAAAATGAAAATAAAAGATAAGAGTTTCGTAAAGAGACCAGGGCGAATGAAGAAAGTTAAGAAATAAAGAAATCGAAATATGGCCGTTATTTTCCCGCCATCTCGTCTTTTTTTTCATATGTTTTTGTTTTTACGAACTTTCCACGGCGTCACAAAGTCGCGCTCCACCTTTCTATTTACACATACATTCTTTTATTATTTCTCTCTTTTATAAAAGGTATGAACGTCATTCATATTCAACATTCTCTTTGTTTTACTATCTCTCTCTCGCTCTCATTTCTTAAAGCGTTTTGATAACTATTAACAAACACTGATATTGCTGATAGCTCTAAAAAGAGTATGGGTAATAGTCGTTTAAATGCTGTATTTGGCACCGTCAGTTCATTACAAGACAGTAAAAAATATAGAGTTCATATTCATCATAAGTATTTACACAGGAAGTACAAGATTACCTTAAGAACTAGAACTTGACCTTAACTTGAAGCGGTCCTCTGTTTATGTACAGGTAAATTGAGCGTGAAAAGTCTCGTATGGCAATAGTTCTCACGTATGGTTGCTAAGTATTATTTTTTTTCTCTCTATCCTAACGGCCTAAAATAGATACGACTGTCAGAGTTGTTAGTCAAGGTGACAAGCCAATTTACAGGTTGATTTTTTGTTGTTGTAATTTTACTTATTCATAAGTTTTAGCTTTGTTCATTCGTTTTATTTATTTTTGTTATTGTAGGTCTATCCATTTATTTACTGTTTTTTTTTTTATTGTAGGTTTATACATTTCTTTATTGGTTTTATCTTCATTGTAGGTTTATCCATTTATTCATTGGTTTTATTTTTTCACTTATTCATTCATTTATTTGTTTCACTTATTCATTCATTTATTTGTTTCACTTATTCATTCATTTATTTATTCATCCACTTTCAGCAGGGATGTTGTGATACCAACTTATTCTTGTATTGATGATAACAATTAGTATTAATTGTCACTGATAAAACCGGTAAGAACAATCATCAACGATATTGGCGATGAACAGTTCAAACAGTATCATTGGCAATTTTAATGGTAAGAATGACTTTAATAGCGATATTAACATAGAATAGCAATATTGATAATGATAATAATAATATAATGATAATGATAATAATGATAATATGATAATAATGATAATGATGAAATAAATTATTATCATTATTATTATTAATGATGATGTCAATAATAGTAATAGTAATAATAATGCTAGTAATGATATTGATAGTGGTAAATGAGATATAACAGTAACGGAAAACATCTATAGGAAATTCTTCCTGAGAATGCCTTCCCAGACTACTTCTGACTTAAATTCATATGTAAAAAGACAAAAAAAAAAAAAGAAAAAAAAAAAGAAAAACGTTAACTAGCAGAATGGAAGAGACTTTTTGGAAGCATAAAGGATCTATGTTATTTACATAGATATAATATATATATATATATATTAATATATATATATATATATATATATATATATATTATAACGTGTTAAAATTGCCAATGGAAATGAGCGAATGAAAAATTCTTTTAAGTGAGTTTTCGTGAACATTGGACGCTCTTTAAAGCTTAGTGATGAAAGCTTGAGGTTTTCAATTCTATTTGTGGGAATTACGGTGTACTAGTTTGGCTTTGGCAATCAACGAATCAAGTATTTTGAATAAAACGCCATGATTGATCTAGCGCAGCCATTTGTGTGTGTGTGTGTGTGTGTGTGTGCTGTGTGTGTGTGTGTGTGTGTGTGTGTGTGTGTGTGTGTGTGTGTGTGTGTGTGTGTGTGTGTGTGTGTGTGTGTGTGTGTGTGTGTGTGTGTGTGTGTGTCTTGTCTACGTTCGTCAGGTTGTAAAATTTAGCTCCAAAACAACTTCACAGAAGCCGAAGACGAGAACCTTAACCGCCAAGGAAAACGAAGCAGACCGCGTCTCGTTCAGATGCTTCGAATCTCCCGGGTTCGAAACCTCAGGAATCCGTTAGTGATTGAACCACCTCGTTATAGTGAACATTTTAGTGTTTTTTCGTACATATGAGAGGATTAATGAGACTCTCTGTTTCGGCTGTTGTATGCCCGGAGTTTTAAGCTCCCGAACTTCCCTATCGAGAGGCTTAATTAGAAAAAGATGATAATGATTACCTCCATTCGGGGTTGGCTTTCGAGTCACGCTATTCAGGGCATGTGAGAGACCGCGGGGGTATTCAATATTGAGAAACGTGCACATTATATAAGTCTTCTGATATTTTTTTCAAGGGAAGAGACGGGATGGGGGGGGGGGGAGGAGGAGGTATTGATGCTTTTATTTTCGTCTTTTTTTTTTTAATTTTTTGTGTATTTTTTTTTTTTCTTTTTTTTTTGGCTCCATTTTCTCATTAGCTCATATTGGCAGCAGGTTCTTGCGGGGTCTCCCTTCCCCCCCTCCCCCTACTCCTTCGCTCCTCCCCTGGAATATGAACTTTTTTGACTCGTCGTTTATATTCATGGATTCCTATTCATATATTCATATTCGCTCACAGTCGTGGAGGCAGAGTAATTTAGCAAACAAACACGCACACATAAACACACACACACACACACAACCGCGCGCACACACACCGCGCACACACACACACACACACACACACACACACACAACGCAACAACACATCCTAAAACCACATACAAAAATAAAAAAATAACAAGAAACATTAAAAAACACACAAACACAGAAAACCAGCAAAAAAAAAAAAAAAATAAATAAAAAAAAAAAAAAATGATAAAAATAAAAATAAGTAAAATAGATAATATATAATAAATATATATAAATAAATAGAAAAATAAGAACTTAAAAAAAAACACGGACCTCGTCATCACCGCCAACGCCAAGACGCCATCACCGAAATGGAACATCAAACCTGACTTCGAGACTGTGGTTCTCTCGCTCTCCCGACATTTAAATGGTCATTAAGCCGAACCGTGTAAGCTGTCTGCACGTGGCTTTGTGAAGAAGGGCTTCGAACCTCGCCTCTTTAAGGCCAAGTTACGAGCGCAACTTTCAGCCAGGGAGAAAGGGGAAGGGAGGGAGAGAGGAAGAGAGGGGAGGGAGGGAGAGGGAGAGAGAGGGAAGGGAGGGAGAGAGAGGAGGGGAGGGGAGAGGAAGGGAGAGGAGGAGAGGAAGAGAGGGAGGGAGAGAGAGGGAGGAGAGAGAGGGAGGAGGGAGAGGGAGGGAGAAAGAGGAAGGGAAGGGAGAG